ATTCTGCAGTCGTATTTTCACGAGTGATGTGTGTATTCTGCAGTCGTATTTTCACGAGGGATGTGGTGTATTCTGCAGTCGTATTTTCAAGAGTGAGTGGTGTATTCTGCAGTCGTATTTTCACGAGTGATGTATTCTGCAGTCATATTTTCACGAGTGAGTGGTGTATTCTGCAGTCGTATTTTCACGAGTGAGTGGTGTATTCTGCAGTCGTATTTTCACGAGTGAGTGGTGTATTCTGCAGTCGTATTTTCACGAGTGATGTGGTGTATTCTGCAGTCATATTTGCACGAGTGATGTGGTGTATTCTGCAGTCGTATTTTCACGAGGGATGTGGTGTATTCTGCAGTCGTATTTTCAAGAGTGAGTGGTATATTCTGCAGTCGTATTTTCATGAGTGATGTATTCTGCAGTCATATTTTCACGAGTGAGTGGTGTATTCTGCAGTCGTATTTTCACGAGTGAGTGGTGTATTCTGCAGTCGTATTTTCACGAGTGAGTGGTGTATTCTGCAGTCATGTTTGCACGAGTGATGTGGTGTATTCTGCAGTCGTATTTTCACGAGTGATGTATTCTGCAGTCATATTTTCACGAGTGAGTGGTGTATTCTGCAGTCGTATTTTCACGAGTGAGTGGTGTATTCTGCAGTCGTATTTTCACGAGTGATGTGGTGTATTCTGCAGTCATATTTGCACGAGTGACGTGGTGTATTCTGCTGTCGTATTTTCCCGAGGGATGTGGTGTATTCTGCAGTCGTATCTTCAAGAGTGAATGGTGTATTCTGCAGTCGTATTTTCACGTGTGATGTGATGTATTCTGCAGTCGTATTTTCACGAGTGATGTGGTGTATTCTGCAGTTGTATTTTCACGAGTGATGTGGTGTATTCTGCAGTCATATTTGCACGAGTGATGTGGTGTATTCTGCAGTCATATTTTCACGAGTGGTGTGGTGTATTCTGCAGTCGTATTTCCAAGAGTGATGTGGTGTATTCTGCAGTCGTATTTCCAAGAATGATGTGATGTATTCTGCAGTCGTATTTTCACGAGTGATGTGGTGTATTCTGCAGTTGTATTTTCACGAGTGATGTGGTGTATTCTGCAGTCATATTT